CATCGATGTGTAGGCTTTTTGGGGGGGTCCATTTTTAAAATAAATAAAGCTGTGAAAACTGTATTTTATGCTTTTAACGTAATGCGCAGGTAGTCTCGATCGTTTGTCTATAAGAAAATTTCTTAGCGGTAGAGTAATTCTTATCGAAATTGATCGTTGAACTCAAATGAAGCCTAAAAAAAAAACGCGCCTGATGAGCTCAACGGTGAGCTCATTTTCGGGAAACAAAAATACGCGTTTACGGTTTCCTTGGTAACCTTTGTTTGCTATCAGCTGATGTTTTATTTCCATTTCCCAGCCAAGTCGACGGAGTTTATACGTCCTTCCTTCATTAAATACATTTACGAACACCTGAGCGCTTTTCTAATAGGACAGTATTAGAACTTTCCCGCTTGTTTTTTCATTGGAAAAGGAAGAAAATGTCTAGGAAGTATGTATTTAAATAGGTGTCGATAAAAATCCCCAAGCAAATAATTCCTGTTATTGGAAATAAAATAAATTCCAATACGCATAAACTGTAATTTATTAAACCTTTTTAACCATTGATTACAATTTAAGAAAAAATGTTAAAGACAAAAATTAAAACTGATCCTCTGAGAAAATAAGTAAATCATTCATTTACTTAATAAATTAAAAAGGCAAAACAATGGCAAATTGAAAGCATGACTAGATTAAACAAATGCTTATCACTTGTAATCAAACATTTGCAGTGAATGACTACAATTACTGGTAAAACAACAGTAATCGTTGTTACAAAGATAGTGATTTACCCTCAACAGGAGAAAACGGAGGGTGATCACAACTAGCGGCTACGTAAACGGTAGTTGCGAGAATTACTGTCAAAGATAAGAAAATCACCCCAGTAGTTGAGCAACCAAATAGTACGGTTATTGTTGCGACCATCGTGAGGTACCAGTGTACCTACCTATCGGCTCCTAAAAGAGATGGTATCTTACATGCGGTAATGGGTCAGAACAGGATCAGAGGTAGGATAGATACTTATTCCTATCACAAGATATATGGTCATTCCCTTCCTACCTCTGTCCCGCCGGATGAGAAAATAAAACTCTAAACTTTTTTGTAAATTATTAACAAACAATCCGTTCAAACTTGCAAAGTTAGACGTCATTTAGTTACTTTATATTGTATCCAGGTGATTCATTGAATACCATAACTTAGGGCTTCGGAGCAGTCCACATGATATAACACAGGGTAATGCCCTCATGGCGATTTAGAGCCATTGGATGAAATTTGGGCGTTTCTCACTCCGTGCTGATAAATTAGGTGCCTTTGAAGATGAGCTTTTCGCTTGAAAACAAAAGAGCAAATGCTGCACGGGAACTTGGGCTTCTCTACGACGTTGGGACATTCGTAGGTTTGATGACGCCACAAGTGAGCTTTCCGTTTGTACGATTTGTCCTGACAAAGGTCGCACTTGAAGGGGCGGTCTTCTTCATCTTCCCTCGGAAAAGTCTCGTCGTCATTCCTCGGCATTTCCAATTCTTCGAGCTCTATGAAAAATTCTGAAATATGCAAAGTCAGATATTAAAGGTCGGCAAAGAAACCTGCCCCCGCCCAAGTGAGTGTAGCGGAGGGTTTTCAGAGAGAGGAAAATGTATAATTGGAGAAAATAAGATTAAAATCAGTGCTCCCAAACAAAAGTCAAGGATTTTTAGGATTTTCTCACGATGGTCTTGGTATGGATGCAAAAACAACTGAAGAGTGGAAATTCAAAACATTTGGTAAACGTCATGCATGTGTTGCTAAGATTGTGCATTTTGTTCCTTACTATGAGAGAAGCTTAATGCCTTCGCTTTGTGGAATTCCATTACGAATTTTTCTCTATATTTTGACCTCATTTTTAGCACATCATTTATTGAATACTATTAACCCTTCGCGTAACCCTTCGCGTGAATCTTAAGAACCCTCTAGCGCAAGTCGGGTCAGACTGACCCGAAACTTGCAAAAACACCTGCCCCGCATATGGAGGACAAAACTTCGAGCGCGGGACCCGAATTTGAGGTCATGGATATGTGAGGTATTTGGATCACGCATCCGATAACTTCAGGTCCCATGCACGAAGTTTTTTTCTCCATGTGCAAACGAGCTTTAGATATTAGTCCAAAAATATATAAGAAAGAATCAGCTATCAAATTGAAAAAAAGGACAAATGGAGCGTCAACACAGTCTAAAGTAAGAAGACGTATGTGGGTCTCGCTATTCAACCCTTCTCCCGAATCTGAGCTACAATTTATTAGCAGCAAAGAGCGCAGCATTGACAGTTCACGCCTCGAGCCAGCGCGCCTTCAATTTTACAGATGCAGCACGGACAACCATCAAGCAAGAATAGTTGTATCTCTGCACCGTCATCAACGCAAGGTGAGGCGTCTCTCATTGTAGGAATTTGAGGAAAATTAATGTTAAATTTGCTCAGAATATGCTAAGATGTTCCCAAATAAATAACCCTGTTGGTGGAAAGGAAAAAAACATGTTTTGAAGGCTCTTCAGCGCCCTTAAGGTCGCACACCTAAAAATTAGTACTTTGACGAGAGTTATGTGTCGTGTCGGGGATTTTTTTTTTTTTTTTTTAGGACTTCCCCTAGAAATCTTAATTGACCTATTTGATCTGCGTTATCTCTACCCATCTCTAGCTTAAGCCGAAAGGTGGAGATTGCGATTTTTCCAAATCAATGCTAAGAGAAGATATTTCAATCTTACAAAGTAATTTATATGAAAAATTCATCAGTCAACATTGTTTCTACGAAACGTTTTTGCAACTCTACGATACGAAATAAAAATGCGCTTTGTGAGCGTAAATGAGTCTTTATTTCAGATCCTGTTATATGCTTCATTTAACTAGACAAGAACAAATTTAAGATCACTTAACCTTTATTCAGCTGTGCATTAAAAAGTTATTTTACAACTACTGCTGATAACTTGTGTCTTCCGTTTTGATCATTTCGATCTGGATTTCCTGCAGCTGTGGGCTGCGTTTGACTGTGGATGGACAGCCGAGCTTCGTTGATACTGAGCCGTGGGCGAGAGCCTTATGACACCTAAGTTGGTATCTGCGAGCGAAACTTAGTGCACACATGTCACAGGGAAACAGTGACTTTTCGAGGACGTTTTTGCATTCGTGGGTCTGGTGGCGCACCAAGCTAGATTTATTCTTGAAGCTCTTTTCTCGACAAAGGTCACATTTGAACGGCTTGGAGAAATCAATCATCCTTGATCCATTCAACGGTCTGTTGAGAGAGTAAAAACCTGAGAGCGAAAAATTAAAAAAGCATCGATTAGAACAAATCTAGGGACAAAGGCGATTTTGGTAAAGTAACTATCGAGATGATTCAATTCACACTGAGAATAATGTTCTAATTTCCCACTTGATAATTCCCGGATGAGAATTCTCGTTGAGTTAGTGTAACCTCAGGGGCAAGTAGTTAATAAATGCCCGGTAAGCTTCACGTCCATAATGATTTTTTCGAGATCAGGGAGTGAATTCGCTGTTTATAGTCTGAACTACGCACGTTTATTCACCGATTTTTCTCTCACTAAGGAGTTAATTTTTGAAATTTGACGAATTCTATGTTTACGTGGAAACTACGAGGTAAACTAAACACGAGGATACGACCCTTGCCTTCGTTCATGAATTGGAGGAGATATGAGAAAATGATATTATCTGCTAAAAAAACATTTGTTTAAATAAGAAATGCCTCCCGATGACGTCACTAGGAGGAGCATTTCCTTACTTTAAAATCCATTTACTTTTTTACTTTTTTCCTTATCAGAAAGTTATAAAAAATACTTCAGAATCAGCTCTTTAAGAATAAAAAATTTGCGTGCAAATTCTGTATTGGAAATATAGCTCTTAACGGCGAATGGGTCAGTTGCGCTGGTCACAGAATTGAATCAAAGAGAACGAAAACACACCAACTCGAAAAAATGAAAATAATCAAGACACACACAAAACTGCATATTATGTGAAGAAGTAAGTCTAAGAAAAATATTTTTGGTGCCTAAAATCAAGTACTTAAGGAAACTTTAAATGTCCAAGTTGGAACATATACAGTAACTTCAATGACCTTTATGAAAATTGTCAGTCCTTAGTGAAAAGTGAGCAATTTCGAGGTACCGAGTTGGTGCGTTTTCGTTCTCACTGATTCAATTCCGTTTTGATGCTCGATTCTTTCAGATTAGCTAAAGACAATAAGATCCGTCCAAACAGCAACTTCCTACGTTGAATATTAACCGAGATATCACGCCTTGAAAATTCGATTTGTGAAGTCGTCCACCGCGGTTGTACATACCATGTTATGCACAACCGCGGTTGATGACGTCATATCGAGATTTTCAAGGCGCGATATTCTCGGTAAATTTGCAACGTGGAAAGTTGCTGTTTGGACGGATCTTATTATTTTTAGCTGATCCACAAGAATCAAGCATCTAAACACAATGGAGATGTTGCATGTGTGAAGAAATTTGCGATTTGACTATTGATTCTTCCGTAAAAGTTCGCGAGAAACACGATGGTGCCACTGGTTTTCTCTGAAATCAACTCCAAAGCTCAAAAACCGCTCTTAAGTTGAGGCCAAAATGGAGGGGATATCCCACGCTATCCTGAGAGTCCACCTCTACATCAAGACAAACTTTCCACGCAAAGATAGGGAGCAATAAATTGACAGGGCTGCCACTTTATTTGGGGACTCCAAAACTGAAAACACGGCAACCCTGCTAATGTCTTTGCTCCCTATCTTTGCATGGAGAGTTTGTCTTGATGTAGAGGTGGACTCTCAGGATACGGTGGGATATCCCCTCCATTTCGGCCTCAACTTGAGAGCTTTTTTTGAGCTTGGGAGTTGATTTCAGAGAAAACCAGTGGCACCATCGTGTTTCTCGCGAACTTTTACGTAAGAATCAACAGTCAAATCGCAAATTCCTCACACATGCAACATCTCCATTCACATTCATTCGCGTGAGTCATGGTCAACTAGCGACTCACCTTAGAGTGTGATCTCGTCAGTGACCTCGGGGGTGGCGGCGGAGGCGGTGGAGGCGGCGTGGAGGCGGAAGACGTGGAGCTCGAGGTTGCACTTGCGGGTGAACTCCTTGCCACAGACGGAGCAGGGGAAGACCGGTTTCTCGAGCACGTTAGTGCACTCGTACTTCTGGTGACGGTAAAGCGACTCCCTCCGGGCGTAAGACTTGACGTGGCAGAGCTCGCACCAGAACGGCCGCGACGCCGATCGACCCCAGTTCCCCGAAGAACCCGGCTCCCCCGTATCCGAGGACGCTGGAAAACGAGGAATCCGTGTCAACTGAACACCCTTCTTCAGTACACTGAAAAAAAAAAAAACTCCAGCCGCGGGAGCCGAAATTACGGGCTATATAGACATACTGTCCGTTCCAGGCTCAAAGGCCGAAAATTCCGGCTGCTGGAGCCGTAGCTTCGATTGCTCCGGGTTCAGAGGCCAACGCTACGGCTCCAGCAGCTGGGATTTTCGGCCTTTGAGCCCGGAACGGACGGTATGTCTATATAGCCCGTAATTGCGGCTCCCACGGCCAGAGTTTTTTTTTTTTTCAGGGTAAACTGTTAAACAAAATCAGAGCGAAATGGGCCAGTTCTGCCGTGCTGAGGAAAAACGCCGTGTGAACATTCGTGAGTTGCAGGATTTCCTTCGATGAAATGTTCATTTTTGAGGAGAGCTATGAATATTTTTCCTTGAAATTTTCAGGACTTTTCGGTGAAAATACGTGCGAAATTATCTGAAAAATTGAGAAAAAGATATTTACAAATTTTTCCGAAAATTCGTGATTTACCAAAGGAAAGTTGGCAGCGCCTGAAGGTTCATACGACGTTTTTCCTTAGCACGGCAGAGTTGCGCTAGTAACAGAATCGTGTTTTGATGCTTGATTCTTGCAGATAGGCTAAAACTAAGCAGATCTGTCCAAACGGCAACTATCTATGTTGAATATTAACCGAGAAATCGTCCTTTGAAAAGTCGGGTTTTTGACGGCATCCACCGCGGTAGTGTATAACATGATAAGTACTACCGCGGTGGATGACGTCATAAATCGAGTTTTTCAAGGTGCGATATTTCGGTCAATATTCAAGGTAGAAAGTTTCTGTTAGGGCATATGTTATTATTTTTAGTTGATCTGCAAAAATAAAGTATAAAACGCGATTCTGTGATCCCCATTCAGAGTAGGCACGAAACTGGTTTCACACACCTAAAAAAAAGTTTCGGTGTATGTAGACATACCGTTCGTATGTGCCGAGCTCACAATCAGCGGCCAAAAGTTCCTGGTACTGAAGCCGCAGCCTCGACTGCTCCGGGTGCTAAAACCGGCACTTCCAGCCTCTGAACCCGGAATGCAGACGTTATGTCTCTATAGCCTGTAAGTACGGCTTCCACGGCCGGAGTTTTTTTTTTTCAGTGTATTTAGATTTTTACAACTATCCATTAAGACAAACACACATTGTTATCCATTAAATTCTATCAATTTCTTTCATACGTGCTTGAGAGCCGATTTTTGAAATTGGTAGACAAATATATAGAAAAATTAGACAGAGGGATAATAGAGCAACCCTCTAGGTTAAAACAAAAGCACAGATACTTGAGAATTTCCTTGTTTATGATTAGTGGGAGTTACATTTTTTCGGTTTCCAAATGGACTTGGTTGATCGATCAAGTTGGTAAAATTGATCGAAACCGTAGGTTACTCTTAAACGTCTGTACATCAAAGAAGTATCCTGCTGAACTAATGTACTCTTCTTCGTCTCAATGTCACGCAGATGTTTCGACTTGTGCGTGCCTAGAGCGCAGAGAACTACGGTTCTGAATCCAGGTTTGATCCTGGCGGCACGCATCTGACTTTTATCATGGTTGCTTTTAAACCCAAAGATTTGGTCAATGTAACTGGAGATTCTCAAAAATCTAACCCCGTCTGGTGGTGAAAGAAGGAACATCACAGAGAAGGAACCACGTCATAAGACGGGGGGAATGAGTCAGAGAATTATATTAAAAAAGATAACGAACAATTCTTTAATTTTAATCTACAAGATGTTTGAAAAAGGTTAACAGCGCCGAGAAAACACACAAGTTAGAGGCTCAATGTGATATTTAATAAAGATCAATTTCGAATTGCAAAGTTGATAAAACAACAAATTCCCTGACTTTTCGTCAAAATTCTCGGTCAAAATAACTATGAATGTAAAAATTGAACCCGTTTCTGCACCATTCTTGCCACAGCAAAAATTCCTAACTTTTTCTGTCTTTGGCAAAAGGCATATTCCTCCTAAGCCCAAGTTTCTTGGCATTTTTGTAAAAACAACTAAACGATAACTATACCGCGATTCACGCCGTGACACTGCACATAGACGTATTTATGCTAAAAGGAACGGCAACATAGTTCCTTTTACCATAAATAGGTTCACACACTGGAAAAAAAAAACACATTGGATCCAGAGTTCAGACTCTTGAAAACATTGATAAGAAAAGATACTCTTGATTCAATCGGATTTTTGCTTGGATTAAAACGAAATCCGCTCAAATTAAGAGGCTTGGTTCTTGATTTAAGCTAGATTCTGATTGAATCAAGAGTACTTTTTCTTGTCGACGTTTTTAAGAGTCTGGACTCTAGATCCAATGTGTTTTTTTTCCAGTGTATAAACAAGGGGACAAACTATTGAAAAATCCCTCAACATGGAGCAGATTCTCTGCATTTTCCCAGACCCTTGGTGCCGTATACTTTTGCACAAACCAGAGGATTCTGAGGCTTCGGAAAACTACTCGGACTTAGTGACGCAGTGCATGTAGGAGAGGTGCCGCTCCAAGAGGTAATTGCGAGTGAAGTCCTTGCCGCAGATGGGGCAAGGGAAGGCAAGCTTTTCCAGGACGTAGGTGCACTCGTACTTTTGGTGTCGAACCAAGGACATCTTGAAGGCGTAGGATTTCTGGCACAGGTCGCAGCGGAAAGGCTTCACTCTGGACTGGAGATGCCCGAAATCCTGGCTCGAGCAAGAATCGTCAGCAATCGCGAGCGCTGAAAAACGAAAATTCTCTGCGTGTTACAAAAATGCCACCAACTTACCAAGCACAAGGTAGTAATCATACATGGATTGCATTTTGCAAAAAGTAACCAGGAGCATTGCAATGTTGCTAAGATTGTGCAACTTCGTTCATTGCAATATAACTATTAAAATCCTGAAAAAATATGAAATTTACAACAGTTTTTAGCGAGTAAAATAGAAACTGTTTATAGATAATAAGGTTACCCTTCAAAGACGAAAGACGTTGCACAATCTTAGCAGCATTGCAATGCTCCTGGTTGCTTTTTGCAAAATGCAATCCATATAACCCTAGCCAAGGTGACGTCATTGCACTGCATTAAGCATAGTAAGAAAGCACTGCGTAATGCAGTGTAATAACGCCATATTGGCTGGGATCGTACGATCACTACCTTAAACGTGTGCACTGGTGCATCTACGTCTACCCGTACTTGTTCTTTGTAACTAACTTCCATTCCGACCCGATATAGTTCTATTATTTAGTAGCTTCTGCATATGCATCAGCAATCTGTCGATAGTAATTGGTGAATCAATTTACGATTGATGCTATTTAATACGAGACATTTCAGTAACGAGAAAAACATGAACGCGTTTAGCCATGTCCGCGTCGAATGACGAAACATCATATCAGTCCATCTCAAATTCTCAACTGAAGAAACCACGATACATGACGTATTTCTTTTCTTGGGCCAAAACAAAATGCATATTGCCCCTCTAGCCCTTTTTTGACACTATTTGGTAAGCGTGAAGTACTTTTTCTCTAAAATGGGGCCAACTAATGCAAAAAATGAAATAAAAGCTTAGGAGTTTTGTTATATAGTAGTACCACGAGTCTATCAGTGCGTATCTTATCTATCACGGAGTGGCGTGGCGTGCTTTGCGATGTATCGATTGTTAAGCCATTTAAACCTATGGAAAAGGATCGATAAAAAGGGTGTTCGCAGCGAACACCTTTAACAATCGATTCTTTACCATAAGTTTAAATGGCATAACAATCGATACATCGCAGTTCACGCCACACCACTGCTATCACGTCTATCAGTAAGTATGGAACTTTCATTACAAAAAAACAGTTCAGCGATCAACACCAATAATTAAGTAAAGACTTCGGAAAAATAAATAAAACGACAGGATTATAAAAAAATATGCTGATTTATTTAACATAAAGTTTTAATAATATTTATTTTTGGACATAGTTTTCTTTCGAAAGAAAAAATATTGCTAAAAAGAAAACACTTACCAATATCAAGCTCATGTGTTATTATTGCAATTTTTCATAGAGAGGAGGGGGCTTGTTATAGTACGGAAGGATTTAGTAAAGCATACAGGGTGAGTTAAAAACCACTATAATGTAAATTTAGCTTGTACTTTCTTTTCATTCAGTGTAAAACTACACAAAAATCGCAATTTATGATTACAAAATGTATACATGAAAAATGTATGGGAAAATATTGGAATGCAATAACTTTCTCACTCTGTACGAATGTTTGTTTTAACATAAAGTATCACAGAGTTTTTTCACAGCCGTAGTAGCTTACTAGCAGTGACAATGCTCGGAGGTGGCAACACTGAGTTTCGTACATTTAAATGCGTAAAATTATCGATACCCGTCTCAATGGAGAGCTTCACCTCATACTCGATTTGAATGCAGGATGAAAATCAGTGTTGCTAACTTTTGAGAGTCACCACTGCTTTCCAAAGCTATTTGTAAATAACTAAAGGGGATAAAATCATTGGGTCACTAGACGAGGTAAGAATTAAATTACTAAGTTACATATTTCCTTTTCAGAAGTTTACTTGGGGAGTGATTCACCAAACGGGAAAATCTGAGATCAGCCCCTTCGAGAAATATTAACATAAATACATCGATCAAATAAAACACAAATCAGATGATTGACGCAGTCGTACAGTTAGTGTTTACATATAAATACGTATGGCATCCTATAGGAGTTGATTACTAAACTTTCTTTGGTTAAATCATTCTCCAAGTAAAATTTTGAATAAAGAATATAGAAGAGAGTGTTATAGTTTTCATCTTGTCTATAGTGCCACATTCATAAATAAGACCAAAGTAGGCGAAATCAGTGTGCGCAGAAACGCAACGATGGACGTCATCCACCATGTTTTTGAAAAGGGGCGTTAAACGTTAATATTTACTAGATTTATTATAATAATACTGCACGTTAAAGTCAATAGGAATGATTTTAGTGAGGAAATTGAAACCATTTGCTAATGTTAAAAGAATGATTATCCTTACATAAATAGACTCACTCGGGATGAAAATAAAAATCGAAATCGATATATCGAGTAGCCTATTGATTGAAACCGATGTACAGTGAAATTCGAATGACGTTGCTCAAATGTTGGTGCATTCTTTGACAATTTTGACGGTAACGACGTCATTTTGGATATTTTTCGTTGTTTCAATCCTTGAAATCGAACAAATAAATTTTTGAACGAATCAACTTTGCTTTCCGGTTGATTGAAAATCGGAATCAATTTTGAGGAAAGACCGAAAATTGATTTTCAAACCAACTTAGAAAAAAAAAAAATTCACATCACTGCAAGATTTTTGAGATAGATCACAATGGAGGCGATCAAAAATTGACATCCATGTCAAAGTAGAATTTACGATCAATTGTAAGGAACGCGTTTAAAAAAGAAAAAAAATTGCACCACTGAGTACAGGATTGATGAAATCGATTTTCAAAATAGCCTTTGTTTTTAAAACAAAAAAGAAAAAAAAGAGAGAGAAAAGATCGTCACGACTACACTCAAAGCTTCCTAGAGAAAGGAGGTGCGGCTGAGAAGGTTTTTGGGTATATCGTCGGGCAAAAGCTTGTGGACGAGTTGAAGGTGCCTCTCGAGGTGGGCCTTCTGTTTGGTGGTGTGGTCGCAGAGCATGCACGGGAAGACGGGCTTTTCGATGTTGTTGGGGCACTCGAATTTTTGATGGCGGATGAGGTTGGAGCGCCACGAGTAGGTCTTCTTGAAGCACAGGTTGCAGGTGTAGGTGCCCCGGACGTCTCTGGAGCGCCGCGACGCCGACGCCGACATACTCGAGTTAGAGTCGTCTGAATGCACCGCAACTGTAAAACAGAAACCAGGCCCCTGTCCATTATTCTCTATTGATCATCCGCTGTTTGAACCAACGATATCAGTGTCGATGCGTGAGTGATCGATTATAATGATCGATATTTCCTCATTTGAGGCTATGGTGAAGAATCGATTATTAAGGTGTTCGCAGAACATCCTGTTTATCGATCCTTTCCCGTAGGCTCAAATGACAGATCAATCGATACGTCGCAAAGCACGCCACGCCACTGAACGATATAAAGACTATGGACTCATGTAAGAATTGTTAAAATTCATTTGTCCATCATCCTCTTTCGCTCATCCGCTTTCTGGACCAACGATATCAGTGGCGAGGCGCGAATGATCTATTCTCGATATTTCCCCTAATGCTATGGTAAAGAATCCAGCACAACTGACCTATGGCATGGGCAGTGACAATATATTTTACAGACCCCGCTCCGAAGATCTGAGCAAATCGAGGGAAACAAAAGTTGCAATTCGGAGGTAAACACTATTTTTCGGTTATGATGGTTCAAGAGCAACTTGTTGAAAAAAAAATCTGATAAAAATCGTCCGGTGATGACTGCTAAACGTTGGAGGGGGGGGGGGGGGNGGGAGTGGAGGTATTCTCGTCCTAACCCCAAAACCTAAAAATAACAGGGGTTTTTTAAGAGCTTTTAAAAGAAAAGATTTGAATATGAAATTATCACCGTAGACTCACTTTGAGCGTTCCTATTTGGCTGATGCATCGGCACAGAGGTTCAAATGCTTCCTTCTAAATGTGACGAAAGTCTCGGAACAGTAGGGTCCTGTAAGAAATCTTGCAAACCGCCAAATTGGGACTATGTCCTAACCTAACCATTGTTTCCTAATGGTTACAAAACTTATCATTGATGGAGAATAATACTAGCTGACGAACAGTATTAAATTACCCTTCGCGCTTTTACTATGGAGGCTATGAAGAAGAAGAAACTGACGAACTGGACGCACAGACGTATAAAATATTTTTGTGAGTAATAAATAGTGTTAATTGATGTGAGTTGTGAAGACGTAGCACATAATCAATTCATATTTTATGAGGTGAGCTACAAGCTCTACTTACGAGATTATACTATACCTTTCCCCCTTCTGTTCTGAGTTACTTTTCTACGTAAAATTACTTTTCTACCTAAAAATAGCATGGGTTTTTTGAGATTTTTTAAAAGAAATGAGTTTGCTGTAAAAAGAGTGTCCAGCCAGATGATACGCCAACAGCCCCAGAAAAAGCTAAAAAGGGATCTTGTTGAGGCGACACCGAGGATAATAAATGTAGTGATAAGACCTTAAACTCGATGGTAAAAGTCACAGGCGCTGAAACTACCGTAACTGTAGTTTCCCTTTTTAGTTTTTCCTGGTCATTAGCGATTGCTGGATTTTTACTTCATTTTTGTCTTATAGCATCCTGTAATCAGCTATTCCCTTGATAACTGGACTTGCAGTTGATGGCTCTATTGATTAAAACCAGCCAAAACACTTCACTTCTCCCACATTATTTCTATCTCGTGCGTCTGTAATGCCAACGAGCTAATGCAATCGCATTCGATGTGACAGTAAATTAGCACAGACTTATGTTTGTGTATTTCTATTCTACGATAAGGATGGTCTATTAAAAGAATGCCATACTCGCAGGCTCACGAATGGAAAAGCATGTGCAAAAAATACGCATGACTATTTAGAAAAAAGTATAATTCACAGTAAAGAAGGGAAGTAATATTCGTCGATTTTCATCACAGACACAGAGGATAATTTTTTAAGAGGACGCAAAAATAAAATGACGAATTAAACATTTCAAAATTCATTAATCTAACATTGAAGAAAATATATAAGATACTAATTGGAGTAATCACTTGCTCATAAATGCCACAAAAGCTACCAAAATCGTCTCGAGGGATCTATCCAGATCCTTTGCGCCTGACTTGGGTCTATGCTCGACCATTGAATTTCCTTATGTGCAACAAGGTCTGTCAAAATTTTGGGCACAATTTAAACGGCGCAACTGAATCGGTTTCTGTTGGACGGGCTTAAATCCAAAAACTCGGGAGCCCTGTCTTTCATTGGTCACGCAGGAAGTTAGGACTCATGATTTTCTGGACTTAAGCCCGTCTAACAGAAACCGATTCAAGTACGGATCCGACAAGAGGATCCTACATATGATGGATGCTGGAAGATATCCGTACGTGCTACTTTTAACAATTGAGAGAGAAAATTTGAGTTTCATAAAAACATTAGTATAATATGAAATCATAACAGCCTTATGCATTTCAACTTAACAGATACTCTTTATAAACATAAATAATACAAAAAACATTGATAAATTATACGCAGGGTTTGTTCGAGGAAGAAAGAGGAAGCCATCATATTCAACAACATTGTTTCACTAAATCGTGAGTAAAGAAAAAATTGAGTTAGTTAGAAACTCGAGTCTACTTATTGAAAAAAACTTACAAGCTTTTTAAAAAAATGAGAAAACATATAATACAAATAAATATTGAGGCCATAAAATCGGATTGCTTGCTTCTTTAAGTTGGAGCTGGTCCGTGTTTAAAAACCATGTGCCTTTTTACGTTAGAATTTTGAGATGAGGTATATTCACAGTAAGGACACCTAAAAGTGCGTTTTTCGAGAACATTAGGGCACTCGAAATTAGTGTGACGAGAGAGACTTCTTCGCGATAGATAGGGTTTGGAGCAAAATTCGCACTCGTAAAATTTCTTCGCCGACTGAATCGTCCTCCTGCGTTGTCCAAGGTAAGAGTCGGTAAATGTGTGATGATCTGAAACAAATAAAAATGAGATCTTCAGAAACAAAAAATGGCGTACTATAGCTGATCAATAAACTCCTTCCAAGGACTTGCACATTTGTATTTGTTCTGTTTAAAAGAAACCTACATAGAAAGCTCACATTTACGTTTAGTCAATCGTCTGGACAATCATTAAGATATACTGTTTTCATTAATGATTATTTTTTTGAGCTTCCGTCTCCCATTACGGTAATCCAGGATTGCGCGAAAGGTCTGAGAAAATATAAGATTACGCGAAAAAGACACGAGGATTGCGCAAATAGAAATCATAATGAATGTTACAGGAATGCGCGAATTTAAAATGAAGTTCATTTAAGGTAGAAGTTCGGCAAAACAGGAAATAGTGGGAAAATGAACGAATTTTTATGTTAACGCTAGTTCAGGTTAGTTTGTTGACAAGTCATCGGTGTCTTATCTTCTGATGATAAATGAAGTGAAAAGATTGAAAAGGAACTTTCCTAACTTTTCTCGGAAAAAATTTAAGTCGGCAGGAACGTGGCTACGTTGGAATGCTCATATGGCGTCGAAACACAACATGGGCCTTTTAAGTTCTATTATTTGATGCCTCAACTGTTAGTCTAACGCGAGTTCGAATAATCACGCCAAATACAGAGTGCGGCCGGCGTTCAACGTGTATTAGCGCCTGCAAGACTTTTGGAATACTTCACGCACTGCGCCAAACAAGGTGGTCGGCGCACAGCCCCCATTAGCGCCTACAAGACTGCATGAATACTTCTCGCATTGCGCCAAACGCAGTACAGTCGGTTAGTTAGCGTGAAACGCATATTAGCGCCTGCCTACAAGACTGTAAGAATGCTGTAGGATTACGTGTCATCATTATTGATTTTCTGCACCAGTTTTTACCATAATTAAAGGGCAAATTTGTATCCTCATTGTAACGATTCAGAAATTCGGATGATATTTAATTTTTTTGGTCACATTAAAAGAAAATAGGTAGAACGAACGAAAATATCGCGTCAAAATTTTCGATACTTTTTTTTTAGGGTAATTTCGGTAAATTCGCGGAAACTTTTCGGAAAAAACTGTGTGTAGCTTTTTAAAAACATTTATTAAAAATCCCCCGCTCTGTTTTTTTCATTGCCCCACGAAAATCGTGATTGAAATTTTCGCGCAAATTCCATCTACATCAGCCGTGGTTTAGAAAAATACATTCTCTTTCAAAATCAGATAAAAACCCTCATTTACTTGCCATCAAGTTTTGGCTCAACTTTCTTTTGGCCTGTCCTACTTACGTTCTAATGATGCTAATCTAGCTTTTAGAACTTTAGAAGTTGTTGCTACGAAAGATAATCCAGGGTGTCTACTAAAACAGGGTGGCCAAAAATCAGTACTTTTACAATACTTTTCCAGTCCATTCCCAAGAAATTCAGTACCTCCTCATAAGAGAAATTCGGTACTTTCTTAGTACCTCCAATTGACGAAAATCGAAAATTTTCATAAAATTTGAATTTCTCGCTCGAATTGCGACAAAAATGACACAAATTCCGGACCTTACGCGGAATTCCGCACTTTTTCAGTACTTTTGGACCGCCCTTAAAAAACCAGCACTACATCCGGACTTTCCGGAAATTCCGGCCATATAGACACCCTGATATTCAGTAACACATTCTTAAAGTACATTGAAAGAAATTACACTAATCTGCGCGGTGTTGCCAAATTGTCCGAATAAATACAATTTGCGGAAATGCCAATTTAAAGTTTTGCGTGAAAATATCAAAATCAAAAATTTTGTTCGGTAACGTCAAACCTAACCTAACCTTCCGTAAGATATTGATAAAAAGTGTATAAAAAGTTCGTGACTTACGAGTCCCTCTTGCGGTGGAAACACGTGAAAATGGTGGAACTTGGATGCCTGGTGTTTATGTAGCTAGTCGACGAAGGACATTTTGTGGGTGAGGAGAACGTGTTTTTTGAGGTTGGACTTCTGCTTGGCGGAGTAGGGGCAGCGGGGACAGGGGAAGTTGGGCTTCTCGGTGACGAAGTCGCACTCGAAGGTGGTGTGTCGGCCGAGGGCGCCCTTGCTTGAGTATCCCTTCCCACAGAGGTGGCATCGGAACTGCTTGTTGATCCCTGCGGGGTGTCGACCACCGAATCCCCGGGAGTG